TTGTGAATAGTGCTGCTGTCAGTACAGGTATGCAGATACCTCTTCAAGATCCTGTTTTCAGTTCTTTTAGATTTATACCCAGAGTGAGATTGCTGGAGCAGATGGTAGTTCTGTTTCTTAATGTTGTGGGGAACTGCTATACTGTTTTCCATAGCAGTTATACCATTTTGCAATCCCTCCAAGTGTACAAGGGTCCCAGTTTCTCCGTATCCTCACCAACGCTTGCTGTATTTTTTTTTTTTTTTTGTAAGAGCCATCTTAATTGTGGTTTTGATTTGTGCTCTTTGTTGATTAGTGATGTTGAGCACTTGTGTGTGTGTGTTGGCCACTTTGTGTATCATCTTTGGAGAAATGACTAATTCGGGTCATTGTGCCTATTTTAAAAATCGAATTATTATTATTGAATTGTAGTTCTTTATATATTCTGATAGTAACACCTTCTTAGAGATACAATTTGCAAGTATTTTCTCCGAATCCGGAGGTCACCTTTCCACTCTGTGGATCGTGTCCTTTGATGTACTTGCCTGTTTCTTTTCATCTGTTCCAGCTTCCTGACCTATTGAGCATGCTTCTGAGATCTCTAAGTGGAACTAATTCAGAGGGTGTTAAGAGTTCTTTCAGGTTTTGATTTTATTGACCTAATGAAAGCAGTGTAATTTAGAATGTATGGATACAGAAAATACACCTGTGCGTTAATGCCATGGTGTAAGGCTATCATCAAAATCTTAGTAATGACTGGCTGGGCACGGTGGCTCATGCCTGTAATCCTAGCACTTTGGGAGGCCAACGTGGGTGATCACCTGAGGTCAGGAGTTCGAGACCAGCCTGGCCACCACGGTGAAGCCCCGTCTCTATTAAACCCCATTTCTACTAAGCGTTGTCTCTACTGTCTCAAAATAAAAATACAAAAATTAGCTGGGTGTGGTGGCGGGCGCCTATAATCCCAGCTACTTGGGAGGCTGAGGCAGGAGAATCCCTTGAACCTGGGAGGCGGAGGTTGCAGTGAGCTGAGACTTTGCCATTGCACTCCAGCCTGGGCAGCAAGAGCTAAACTCCATCTCCCCTTCCCCCCCACAAAAAAATTGTAATGACCAATAGGAGAACTTTAAACAAACTTTAGACAAATTCCATACACATAGAAATAGAATTTTGTACATATGATTGCATGGGAAGGGTGGCTTGCTTTATGGAGGAGTTCCCTGTGGTAATCATTTAAAGGTCTTTCTGTTCTCTGCAGTGGGAAAGTATACCTTAAGGTTACCTAGATGGCTTCAGGTCTTCAAGAAAAAAGTTAAAAAGAAAGAAGACTCTAGCACATCCTAGTTACTATAGTTATTAAGAAGCTTCTGGCTCCTGCCTCTGACGTGCACAGCAGTTCTTCAGTGCAGTGTACCATGAGCATTTATGTCTTGGGGGCTCTATACAGTGTTCCGTAATAGCAGAATATTTACGGTACATTTAAAATGTGCCTGGATTATGAAGTACCGCATTTGTATGCAGTCTTATGAACACATCTGCTAGAAGAAGGGAGCTCCTCCCAGGCCCAGTGTAGACTGGAGTCGAGATGGAGGCCAAGTAGAAGGCAGATCTGCCATGGCCTGGGAGGTGGCCGAGTTAATACATGGGGCCCTGGAGGTGTCAGTTTCTTTTGGTCATTTCCTGGATGAGGAGAATTTCGTTGTAAATTGCTCTTAGGTGTATCCATGTGCTCCACATGCCCAAGCATGTAAAGCACCAAGCACAGGGCTGGTGAAGTAGTAGCTGTAATAAGTACAAGAAAGAATGTTCATTTCACTTAGTGGGTTTCTTCTGCTTTTTATTCTCAGAGTGCACTGTAAGAATCTTCTGACAGTTTGCTGTTATTGATTGATTTATTTATTGAGACTGAGTCTTGCTGTCATTCACGCTGGAGTGTGATGGTGCAATCTTGACTCATTGCAACCTCCGCCTCCCAGGTTCATTCAAGCAATTCTTGTGCCTCCGCCTCCCGAGTAGCTGGGATTACAGGCATGCGCCACCACGTCCGGCTGATTTTTGTATTTTTAGTAGAGACGGGGTTTCACCATTTTGTCCAGGCTGGTTTAGAACTCCTGACCTCAGGTGATCTGCCCACCTCGGCCTCCCAAAGTGCTGGGATTAGTTTGCTGTTTTTTAAATGAAGATCCTGGTTCTTAAACTCTGCTTCAGGTATTACCAGAGAAACGGAGCCTGAAACTCTTGAAGAGCCACAATCTCAATGTGAATTGGTACATGTACTGCCCCGAGAGCGCCGTGATCTTGCTGTCTACCACGGTCCTGGAGAATGTCCTGCAGCCTTTTCACTTCAGGGTAAGAGGAAGCCTCCCCTGAAAACAGCACATTTCCCCAGTTGTCCCCTGTTGCTGTAGCATCCTAATGTGTCAGGCACATTAGGGACAGGTTCCTCCAGCCGTAATGTCACGCTCTGACCACTAGAGGGCACTCTGTGTACCCGTCAGCTCCTGGAGCCATTCATTTTATGCTGGGCAGACAGGCCGTGAGGGGACACGGGGGACGGTGGAAAGGATCCAAAGTCTATGTTTATCCTTGTTGGTTTTACGTAGGGAATGGTGAAACATCAAAAGGGTTTAATAAGTTTTTCCTAAAACTTTTTTCCCCCTAAACAGGCTGGCACTATGTCAAAGCTGCCCAAGTTTGAGATTGAATTACCAGCTGCACCTAAGTCAACTAAACCCAGCCTTTCCGAAAGAGACATCGCAATGGCTACCGTGTATGTCTGTGTCAGAGAGAACTCCATCCTGTGATTGCTTTCAGTAATATAAATAATAGGAGGAGTGTGGTACAAGCACCACATGATGCCCTGACCCCTAGAACACATAAGGAGGACTCCCCTTGTCCTGGGTATTCAGTGTCTAGATCCTCTGAACATAGAAAACCTGCAGCGTTTTTGGCATTCCTTTTTGATTTTTATCAGCTTTGTGATGCTAAGGAATTCCTTTGCCTTTCTAGCCTGATAAAACAAGAACTTTGAACCAATTTATTTCTTAGTGTTTTTGTTTTATAATTTCTTCTTTTTTTTTTCAAGACAGAATCTTTGTTCTGTCACCTAGGCTGGAGTGCAGTGGTGCAATGTCGGCTCACTGCAGCCTCCGCCTCTCAGGCTCAAGTGATTCTTCTGCTTCAGCCTCCCAAGTAGCTGGGATTACAAGTATGTGTCACCTCGCCTGGCTAATCTTTGTATTTTTGGTAGAGACAGGGTTTCACCATGTTGACCGGGCTGGTCTTGAACTCCTGACCTCAAGTGATCCACCTGCCTTGGCCTCCCAAAGTGCTGGGATTACGGGTGTGAGCCACTGTGCCTGGCCAATTTTTTTTTTTTTTTTTTTAAAGCTAAGTTATCGTTCTAAATAAGAAAATACATTAAGATTTTTATGTAACAAACGTGGAACTCAATTACTTATATATGGAGGTATATTTTCTTTTTCTGTTTTTTTTTTTTTTTTTTTAAGATGGAGTCTTGCTCTGTTGCCAGGCTGGAGTGCAGTGGTATGATCTTGGCTCACTGCAACCTCTGCCTCCCAGGTTCAAGCAATTCTCCTTCCTCAGCCTCCCAAGTAGCTGAGACTACAGCCACGTGCCACCATGCCCAACTAATTTTTGTATTTTTAGTAGAGACAGGGTTTCACCATGTTGGCCAGGATGGTCTCAGTCTCTTGACCTGGTGATCTGCCTGCCTCAGCCTCCCAAAGTGTTGGGATTACAGGTGTGAGCCACTGCGCCCGGCAGTACGAAGGTATATTTTCATTTGAAAAAGTGGATATCTCAGTTTTTAAATTTGTAATGAAAATTTTAAACACACAGTAGAGATTAATAAAAACCCTAAACTTTCAAACTTTTTGGTAGTATAATGTTCTTTTCTTTATTTCTTCTTCCTTTTTTTTTTTTTTTTTTGGTACTCTTCTGTGGCTTTCCTGTTTATTTTTAAATTTTTCTTGGAGAGTCTCACTCTGTTGCCCAGGCTGGAGTGCAGTGTTACGATCTCGGCTCACTGCAGCCTCCGCCTCCTAGGTTCAAGTGATTGTCCTGCCACAGTCTCCCGAGTACCTGGGACTACAGGTGCATGCCACCACATCTGGATAATTTTTATATTTTCTGAAGAGATGGAGTTTCACCATGTTGCCCAGGCTGGCCTTGAACTCCTGGGCTCAGGTGATCCTCCCGCCGCGGCCTCCCAAAGTGCTGGGTTTATAGGCGTGAGCCACCGTGCCCAGCCAGCATTCCTGTTTGGACAATAGATAAAGCGCGAGCAGTCCTGGTGGAAGTGGAGGTGGGGACTGTTCCCTCCCACCTTGGTCTCCTTGTCCCTGGGCAGGCCCAGCGCAGAGTTTACCGCTGGACTGAAATATGCATTCAGGAACTGTTCACAGCAACACTTATTAGATGGCACTTAAATAGAAGAGGCTGAGCATGGTGGCGCACGCCTGTAATACCAGTGACTGGGGAGGCCAAGGCAGGAGGAGTGCCTTGAGGCCAGGAGTTCAAGACCAGCCTGCGCAACATAGTGAGACCCTGTTTCTACAAAAATATTTAAAACTTAGCCAGGCACGGTGGCATGTGCATATAGTCCTAGCTACTGGGGAGGCTGAGGTGAGGGAAGATCACCGAAGCCTAGGAGTTGGAGGTTGCAGTGAGCTGTGGTTGCACGTGACAGAGGGAGACCCTGTCTCTGAAAAATGAAAAAAAAAAAGTGATTATATTTTTCTGTTATTAAGGAATATACATTCATTATACAAAACTTGGAAAACAGAAAGAGAAGAAAATGAACTTATTAGCATATCACTCAAGTATGACTATTAACATGTGTTTCTTTCTAATCATTTTAGACTCTATGCTTAGGTTTGGGGTTTTCTTTTAAAAGATTATGATCAAGCTGTATTTGGTGTGTGTTCTCTTTTCCACTTAACTTTATAATAGGCTTTGAGTAACTGCATGTTTCTTTGTAAACATTTTTGTTGGCAGCAAAATAGTCCATTAAGTGAATATCTCATAATTTACTTAACCGTGATACCATTTAGAGCAAAGGAATTTTGAATGGCCAGATGTGATTTTTGTCTCTTTGTTCCCTAATTAGATACGGGCAGCTGTATGTTCTCTTCTTGAGGCATCATTCTCGGACCTCCAACAGCACAGGAGCGGAGGTGGTCCTCTATCATCTGCCACGGTAGATTTCATGCTTGTTTCCCCTCTCTCGGTGATTTTAAAATGTGAGCTGCAGCTTGCTGATCTATTTTTTGCTTTCTATCCGACAGAGAAGGTGCCTGTAAAAAGATGCACATATTGAAGTTAAATAGGACGGGAAAGTTTGCCCTGAACGTGGTGGACAACCTGGTGGTCGTGCATCATCAGGACACAGAGGTACAAGCTGTCTGCGTTTCTACCAAAGTTCAGGTTGCTTAAAAGCCTTGTGAAAATTGGCGGCTGGGTGCAGTGGATCACGCCTGTAATCCCAACACTTTGGGAGGCCAAGGCGGACAGACTGGTTGAGCCCAGGAGCTTGAGACCAGCCTGGGCAACATGGCAAAACCCCACCTATATAAAAAATAAAAAACTTAGCCGGGTGTGGTAGCGCATGCCTATAGTCCCAGCTACTTGTGGGGCTAGGGCTGGAGGATGGTGTGAACCCGGGAGGTCGGGGCTTCAGTGAGTTGAGATTGTGCCCCTGCACCCAGCCTGGGTGATGGAGCAAGATCCTGTCTCCGAAAAAAAAAGAAAAGAAAAAAAAGAAAAGAAAATTGGCAAAATGTCTGAGTAAGATTAGAAAGTGCATTTTTATTTTTTATGCTAAGAGTTTTCATCTTCCAGATGGAAATGGGTTAAGTAGTTTAGAAAAAAGTGATTGTGTCAGTTGATTAAAGATAATTGAAAACTGTTTCAGAAAGTAACACTTGAGATTTGACCTTGGAAGGAGGTGGGAATCCGCTCCATTCCACGAGTACATGAATTCTCTATTGCAATTGTGAGCATGGATGATAGTGCTAGGGGATAATGGTTTTGAGGCCGTGTGGACCAGGACAACTAGAATGGGTCCTGTGGGCTGGGCCTCTGGTATAAAGAAGCCACTTCCCTCCTCTACCCTCCCAGAGGGTGGTGACGCTAACTCTCTGACACATGAAGATGTTTCCAGTGGAAATGACAGAGATCTTAGGTCACTTTGAGCTTGTCAAAGGTAGCATGTCATACATGCAGGAAATACTTGTGAGAGGAGATAAAGATATTAAAAGAGAGTTGTAATGTTAATGACAAATTCCTCAAGTAAGAACTAGCCTATAGGGAGGAGATGCAAACAAAGGCTTTTAAACTGATTTAAACAGCAAGATGGGATGGAATGAAAGGGACTGGGCAAACTGTGATTCATTTTGGCCTCAGTTTTGTTTTCTCCCCCCATAGACGTCAGTAATATTTGATATCAAGTTACGGGGAGAGTTTGATGGCTCCGTTACCTTCCACCACCCGGTGCTTCCCGCGCGATCGATCCAGCCCTATCAGATCCCCATCGCAGGTAACGGGTTCTGTAGAGGAGTCTGTGCTGCCGTTTTACCACGTGGCTGTGTTCTCACCATGATCTTGGGGAGTCACATTAAAAGTGGAGTGAGGAGTAAACAGAGATTTCCAGATCTGTCTGATTTTGCCAGGGGCCATTTGTTCCAGTTCTGTCGTTTAAAGAGGGAGTCTCACGCACTCGCCCAGGCTGGTATGTAGTGGTGTGATCCTGGCTCACTACAACCTCCACCTCCTGGGTTCAAGTGATTATCCTGCCTCAGTCTCCCAAGTAGCTGGGATTACAGGTATGCGCCACCGTGCCCAGCTAATTTTTATATTTTTTTAAATTTATTTTTTTGACCGAGCCTCAATCTATTGCCCAGGCTGGAGTGCAGTGGCTTGATCTTGGCTCACTGCAACCTCTGCCACTCACAAGATTCAAGGTTGTGAAGTATTCAAGCAATTGAACCAAGTATTCAGTTGCTTAAATACTTGGGAGATAAGGTTCAAGTGATTCTCCTGCCTCAGCCTCCTAAGTAGCTGGGATTACAGGCATGCGCCACCACGCCCAGCTAATTTTTTTGTATTTTTAGTAGAGATGGGGTTTCACCATGTTGGCCAGGCTGGTCTTGAACTTCTGGTCTCAAGTGATCTGCCCGCTTTGGCCTCTCAAAGTGCTGGAATTACAGGCATGAGCCACCACGCCTGGCCCAAATTTTTTTATGTTTGATAGAGATGGGGTTTTACCATGTTGGCTAGACTAGTCTTGAACTCCTGACCTCAGATGATCCACCTGCGTCAGTCTCCCAAAGTGCTAGGATTACAAGTGTGAGCCACCGTGACCAGCCTGTTCTAATTTTTTAAAAAATGCAACTACTACTGATCGTATAAGCTAAAGTTATGTTGTGAAAAAAGCATTTTCTAAGATAGATGAATCTCCCTTGGGAGGAAATAATTTATCTTACCTGAGCTGTAGAATGGATAGTTTTGATTACTCATTGATGGTGAAAGATGTTTTAATACTGAATATGTCCATAACGTTTTCTGTTTGCCTGAGCTCTGTAACGCTGAAATTAACTTTGGCTGTATGCTTGTTACTTTAACCTGGGATCACTTTTCTCTTGCTCACATTCCGTGTGACAGTGATGATGAATATTGCATTCTTTGGGACTGACAGTCACAGTAAGTGCTTTGGCTGTGGCTTTTAGGCTTACCCAAATCAGTCCTCCTGCCTGGAGAGGAGGTGGGGTTGGGAAGTCAGAAGAGTGGAGGCCAGGAATTCAGGAAAAGGGAAAGTCATTTATTTGCTTCATTTTGCCTTTTCCCAGTGTAATTGATTTTAACACAGAACTGAAAGAATATTCAACTCTCTCTCTCTCTCTTTTTTTTTTCCTTAAATAGAACGTTATTTTCTCACAGTTCTGGTGGCTGGAAGTTCAAGATGTCTGCGGGTTTGCTTGCTTCTGGGGCCTCCCTGCTTGCAGGCCTCCTTGCAGATGGCTGCCTTCTCACTGCGTTCCCACAGGGTCTGTCTTCTGTGCCTGTCCCTCCCAGCAGTCTCCCGGCTCTCTTTTGAAGGAGATTGGAGTGCAGAGTTGGCTAGTCTGAGGTTTCAGTGTACAAGACGTAGTCAGGTGCTCACACTTGGAACCCTGGTACTAATATTTTATTCTTTGTCAGACAGCATCGGGCGGTTCACCCAGCCTGCAGTCAGGATTTCCTTGTACCTTTCACCCAGGAGATTCAGAATTGGGCTCTGGCTGAAAGTTTAGCAAGAGCAGCATCGTCAGCCTGACTGCCCTGTCTTGCTGGATCAGCCAAAAGCTAAGTTACTTTCTGGCACAGTTGGAGGAAGGAGCTGGTTCTTAACAGACATTTGGTGAGGTCTTTTGGTCTCCTGTGTTCTCTCGAGCTGCTTCCTCTTCCTCTGTACATAATGTTAGCGTTGAAAGAACAGACTTTGCCAAGTGATTGTCTTGTGTCTGCTGCCCACTTGGCATGAACGTAACTGCCGGTGAATTGGGGAAAAAACTAAACATTTAGAACAAGCCTGTCCAACCCATGGCCTGTGGGCCACATGCAGCCCAGGACAGCTTTGAGTGCAGCCCAACACAAATTCTTCAACTTTCTTAAAACATTATGAAGTTTTTTAATGATTTTCTTTTATCAGCTACGTTAGTTATGTTAGTGTATTTTATGTGTGGCCTAAGACCATTCTTCTTCTTCCTAATGTGGCCCAGGGAAGCCAAAACATTGGACACCCCTGGCTTAGAACCTTTAGCTCTGTTCCAGTGGTACAGGACCAGTTAGGAGGCATCAGGTTCCAACCATCTGGTTATAATGGAACAGATGCGAGGCCGGGTCACAGTAATAGCCAGTGCAGAGATCAATAGGAGGAAGTCAGGAATCCACCGAGGGTCTGGGGATCTAGGTAGTTTGGGCTGCAGAGCATTTTCAGAGGTTAGTGACTTTCATTTCCTGCTGGGCTGTGAACCCTGGCAGGTTGATGCATCCGTGTGTCTTGCCCACTGTGCTGCCACTGGGTGGGCGTGCTCAGGAATTGAATGGGCCTGTTTAGACAGATATAAGCAGCACTTCTGGGAAGAGTCAGCCACCCTTTTTCTTTTTGTTTTAGGCCTATTAGAACAGTGGGTCTCAATCTGACTACATATTAGGATCATCTGGGGGGCCTTGGAAACGAAAGCTCTCACCTGACAGTGTGCAGGTCAGCCACACAAAGATGAGGGCTGTGCACTCAGTGCAGACCTTGACCCTTAGGTCCAAAGTGCGAGTGTTCTTCGCCAAAGCTTCTCTGCCTGGGCTTTTTCCTGGCTTTGGGCGGTCTGTTCACAATGACCTTTTCTCTGACCAGCTGATTGAAACCTGCCTTGATTGCACCTGGGTAATTGGAACAGAACCAGGAGTCATGGTTAGCTTGTGGGGCTGCCTAACTGGTTGCTAAGGGTTCCCGCCATGTGAGGTTTTGGGGATCTGCTTCCCAGACGAGCTCACTGTGCCTGGACCTACTCTAAGCAATGGATAATCAAGCTAATTATTTAGATAATTAAGTGGCTGGGCGCAGTGGCTCATGCCTATAATCCCAGCACATCGGGAGGCTGAGGTGGCCAGATCACTTAAGCCCAGGACTTTGAGACCAGCCTGGGCAACATAGAGAGACCTTGTCTTTCCAAAAAAAAAAAAGAAAAGAAAAAAGTTAGCAGCTCTGTTCCAGTGGTCACGTGCCTTTAGTCCTAGCTACTCTGAAGGCTGAGGCAGGAGGATCACTTGAGCCAAGGAGTTCGAGGTTGTAGTGGGCTATGATCAACTACTGCACTCAAGCCTGGACAGCAGAGCAACACCCTATCTGTCTTTAAAAAAAAAAAGGCCGGGCACGGTGGCTCACGCCTATAATCCCAGGACTTTGGGAGGCCAAGGTGGATGGATCACTTGAGGTCAGGAATTCAAGACCAGCCTGGCCAACATGGTGAAACCCCATCTCTACTAAGAACACAAAAAAGTTAGCTGGGTGTGGTGGCACATGCCTGTAATCTCAGCTACTTGGGAGGCTGAGGAAGGAGACTCTCTTGAACCTGGGAGGCGGAGGTTGCAGTGAGCCAAGATTGCACCAGTGCACTCCAACCTGGGCGATAGAACGAGTCTCCACCTCAAAAAAAAAAAAAGATAATTAAGCTGCGGTAAGCTACAAGCCACATTTATTTGAAACATTCTCCGTGGATGATCTGGGTATTTGATTTTGAATCCTCCACGTAAATTTCTCAGTTCCTTAATGTGCATCTGTAAATGATCATGAGTCATCTTTGGTTATTTAAAAAAACCCAAACCACAGTGATTGAAGCCTTGACGTGCTTTCTTTTTCTTGGTGAGATTTTCCTGGATTGTTTTCAACTCCTTCCCCCTTCCTCCCCGTATGTGCTATCAGTGAGATGGAACAGTTCATTTCTTCCTTAACTACAGCTGAATGAACATTTTGTCACGACATTAAAAGGTACTGACTTTTGCGTCGTAAGCACCAGCATTCGCAGCGCTTTCTGGCTGCATCGCACTTACGTCTTCTCAATTTGTAGGTCCTGCTGCCGTGACCAGCCAGTCTCCTGTTCCGTGTAAACTCTGTATCCTTTACTAAGGCGTTGGCACCGTGCACAACAGGGCAAGTGGTCACCCTTACAGAGTGGTCCTGAAGCCCTCCTCTGGGCAGCTGTGAATAACGCTCTGGGAGCCACCCCGCAGCCAGCTTCCCTGACTGTCCAGGGGCCCTGTGTTTAGCGTGGACTCAGCACATGGGGGGCAGGGGCGTGTGCTAATGGAAACTGGTTTTGCCTTTTGTTTTCGTCTTTTCCTGGTTTAGAATTTCCTATAACATGTGGATTCTTCATCCTGGATTGTCTTTCAACCTGACATCATTATCAGTGCAAGCCAAGGTAGGTCAGCGGGACAGTTGTCGTGTTAGAACATGGTGCTTGTTGACTTTGGATCCCAGTTGTAGCCAGGGACATTTTCAAGGTGAATCTCTGAGAAATGACCCCTCCTTTCAACCTTGGGAATGTGATTTTTTTTTTTCACTTTATACTGTTTTCTACTCCTTTCAACCTTGGGAATGTGATTTTTTTTTTCACTTTATACTGTTTTCTACTATATGTGCATTTTATCAAGAACATATACTACTTTTAATAAAGCAACAACTAAGAATGCCATTCTCGTGCTTAAGCCCATTCTGGAAAGCCAGACTCCACCCCAGCCTGTCTCCCTTCGTTTCTCCCATCGACCTTCCCTCCGGTGTCCATGCCCTTTTCTGTTCTGCACGAGCCCAGGAGGTGTGCTCCTCTTCCTGGCCTTGCTGACGAAGCCTCCTCAGCCTATTGGTTGTCTCTTCCTGGGTAATCTGTTTATTAGAGAAATCTTACTTTTTTAAGGCAGGGTCTTGCTCTGTCACCCAGCCTGGAGCGCAGTAGTGCTATCTCAGCTTACTGCAGCCTTGAGCTCCTGGGCTCAGGCGATCCTCCTACTGTAGCCTCCCGAGTAGCTGGGCCTACAGGCGCACACCACCACACCCAGTTAATTTATTATAATAATAATTATTTTGAGACAAAAGCTCGCTTTGTCGCCAGGCTGGAGTGCAGTGGCACCGTCTCGGCTCACTGCAACCTCTTGACTCCTGGGTTCAAACGATTCTCCTGCTTCAGCCTCCCCAGTAGCTGGGATTACAGGCATGCACTACCACACCCAGGTAATTTTTGTATTTTTAATAGGTAAGGGGTTTCACCATGTTGGCTAGGATGGTATCGATCTCCTGACCTCGTGATCTGCCCACCTTAGCTTCCCAAAGTGCTGGGATTACAGGTGTGAGCCACCATGGCCGGCCTATAATTTTTTTTTTTTTTTAGAAATAGGGTCTTGCCATGTTGCCCTAACCTGTGTCTCTAATACCTTGCCAGGCTGGTATTAGAGAATTTCCTATGTTACTCTTTAATCCTCTGTATATTTTCGTGCCTTTCCTCTGGAATTCCTAAGAATTCTTGAGGAGAGAATTAGCCCTGATGCTCTAAGCATCCACTGTATGTAATGAAGTCATTTCTGTCCTGTGCATCTTGCTGGTGTTTTCCTGTACAGCTGCTCTGCACCTGCCTTGGGACAACTGAAAAAGGGATCACCCAGATGATTTTTTATGTGGCACTTCATTCTGCAGAACTCCAGTTGGGAAAGGCCACACCAGATGCTGGCAGTGTGGGTGATCAGTACATTTATGGGTCGATGAATGGATGAATGATGTTCCATTGAGAGCCTCTGGAGTTACGTTTTAAACTAATGAGTCGTTGTAGAGAAACCAAAGCACAGGACTGAAGTTGATGCCACATTGTTGACATCTTTTTCTATTTTAAACATTAAAAGAGGGACCAGGTCTAGGGAAGGCCCTGTTTGGCATTAAGGACTAGGGAGCTACACCACTGATGTGCCCCTGAATGCAGAGGTTACTTGGAAAGAATCAGCCAAGTGTGCAGTAGTTCGGCCATCAGTCCTTCTGTTGTAGACATGTTCTTGAATGGCTTGGCTCTGCTTTGGTTAGGAAGAAAAAGCTACATTTATCACCACCTGCCCTGTAGATGTTTAGGGGAACCACTTTTGGGCTTTTGTTATGGTTTGCATCATACTGTTCTATTTGCTGCCTCTTTAAAATCCAGGTTACCTCTGGAACCTCCAAGTGAAACTTGAGCCCATAGTAAATCTCTTACCAGACAAAGGAAGATTGATGGACTTTCTCCTCCAGAGAAAAGAATGCAAGATGGTCATCCTGTCTGTCTGTTCACAGAGTAAGTTGAATCCTTCCCCCTTCGTCTGGTTCTGGTATGAGGCCTGTGCTGCCCAACACTTTTTATCGGGATGTGGGCCAGACTGTTGTGCCTTGTCTGTAATCCATAGCCTCATTCTTTGTGTGAGGGGTGGCTATGTGACCCCCTAGGAAAGGCTGCTAAATGGAAAGATGACTTGTAGAGATACTTGTAGAGAAAAGAACAATAAATGGGATGGTTCTGAATGAAAGTGGGCACACAGGAGGGGAGTGGGCCACCGCCCCTGGCCTTCACACACACCTCTTTCAAAATCCAAGCCACGTCACTGCATGTGTCTTCTTTAAGCATCCCCTACTGAGGCCAGGCATGGTGGCTCATGCTTATAATCCCAGCACTCTGGGAGCATGAGGCAGAAGGATTGCCTGAGCCTAGGAGTTCGAGACCAGCCTGGACAACAGGACAAAACCCTGTCTCTATTAAAAAAAAAAAAAAAAAAATTAGCTGAATTTGGTGGTATACACCTGTGGCCCCAGCTACTCCAGAGGCTGCAGAGGGAGGATTGCTTGAGGCCGGGAGGACAAGGCTGCAGTGAGCCGTCTGTGCCAGTATACCTCCAGCCTGGGTGACAGAGCAATACCCTGTCTCAAAAAAAAAAAAAGCAAAAGAAAAAAAGAATCCCCTACCAATATGTGCTATTGGTGTTTGTTTTGTTTTGGTAGAGATGGGGTCTTGCCTTGTTACCTAGGCTGGTCTCAAACTCCCAGCGTTAAGTGATCCTTCTGCCTTGGCCTCCCCAAAGTGCTGGGATTAGAGGCATGAGCCACTGAGCCTGGCCTGCTATAGCTTTTTTTTTTTTTTTAACTGTAACCAGAAAGGGGTTGCGAATGACGTCTAGGTATCAGGTCTTTAAAGTACTGCATTTCTTGGAGTGTCCTTTAAAGGTACTTTTGCGTTGGTAACCTTTTGAGATCAGTTTTTATCGTAGCAATGTGTGGAAATTCTGAAGCTGACATGAAGTTGGTTTGATCGTGTGAACCTTGTGCCTTTCCAGTGTTAAGTGAGTCAGACAGAGCGTCGCTGCCCGTGATAGCCACTGTTTTTGATAAGCTCAACCATGAGTATAAAAAGTACTTGGATGCCGAGCAGAGTTACGCGATGGTGAGTTACATGGAGTGTGACAAAGGGTCCTCCTCCCCCAGCCCCTCCCTGGTATTTTCTAAGTCATTATGATGCAAAATTGTTTCCTACAGATTAGAATAACGTCACTGAGATTTGCTGCCTGCCACAGGGCAAGGTGGCGATAGTGGGGGAGAGTGGGGAAGTAGGACATTCAGGGGCCCTGCATCCCATGAGCTGGAGGCCACACCTCACTTCATACCTTCACTGTTTTTGTTTTTCCCCCATCTGTGTTTGATCTTGCCTGTAGATCCTTGGCCTACTGTTATATATAGATGAGAAAAATCAGTCTCTGCTTTGCAATATTTTGTATATTTTTCTGTTTTGCCAGAGTGAGGACTTAGTAAATTAGATTCGAAGTATTTCTGTTTGCCACACCTTTCTTTCCTGTTGAGATAGCGTCCTGTTGAGATAGTGACGATTCAGTGTTAGCACTTAGCAGGCATGTTTGTAGTGAAGGTAGTAACCATGGCTTATCGCCACCAATTTCCACTGTATTACTCGTACACCATACCTCCTGAAGCCAGAAAGAAGAAAAGTTTAGGACAAGGAGAATGACTTACTTCACTTCCAGGATCTGATTAGTCCTAGGCTGAACATGGTTTTAAACCAACAAAAGCCCCGGAACTGCACTCCCCTTCAGCTGTTCGTGGAAGGGTAAGAGGTCTGAGACAGGCACTGAAGAGGGCCGGTTGCCTGGACAGTGTCCATTTCCACCCTGTCAGATATGAGGGATGGCTGAGTCCTTTTGAACCCTATTGCCGTGGGTGTTCTGGGCTGTGGGAATCAGCAGGTCTGATCCCAAATGGCAGTTTCTGTGCTGTCCCGCACTGTCTACTGGGCTCCATAAACAACATGACTCAGCAGTGGGGGCCAATGACCAGCCACGTGAGCAGCATCTGGAGTTTCTTGGAAATGCAGGTTCTCAGACTACACCCC